TAAGTCTGATTTCTTTTAAGGCCTCTCCTTGCTTATAGCTAGGCATCTTCTCCCTGTGCCTTTACATGGTCTTCTGTCCTTTTTGGTGTATGTTCAAATTTCCTGTTCTTATAAGGACACCAATCATTTTGGATTAGGTTCCACCCCAATGATCTCATTTTAACTTACGACCTTTTCAAAGATCCTGTCTCCAAAGCAACCACATTCCGATGTTGCAGGGGTAAGGGCTGGAATGCACGGATTTTGCGGTGGACACAATTCATCCCCTAACAGTTTTGAAGCATTCACTTTGAAGAAACCTAATCTCAAGGAAAATCCCCTAAATAACCACTGCTCTTTGCTGTGCAGGCCAACACAGGAACAGCCAGCTAGTGTTACTTAGTAGTTGAGCCTCGACCTATGAACCAGGAGGTCACTGTTCAATTCTCCTGGCGTTTTGGCCTTGATCCCCAACAGGGGGTGTGCAGGACGCAGCCAGTCAATGATTCTCTGTCATCATTGATGTTTCTATCTCTCTCTCCCACTCCCTTCCTCTCTGAAATCAATGCAAATCTATTTTTTAAAAATACCCTTTTACTTTTCAGTTCACTTTTTTTTAAGTTGTTCTCTCGTTCCTCTGTTTTCTTGTGCATTGGGTATGGTTAATACTCAAATTTTCAACTTGGTCCTTATGGTACAAAAGAGGGAAACAGGATGGCTGCGGCCATCAGCTAACCAGAGCCCTTTTCGAGCACATGCACCTATGAGGGCTTGAAGCACGTCACAGACGTACTGGTGTCTCTAATGGAGGGCAGCGGAGCTGTAGGTGGGATGGCTGGATTGCTCACCTCTGAAGCAGGGTGGGTGTGCAGAAGGCAATTGTCCAAATGCCATTGACCCCAGAGCGACTGAAAGAACAGCGGCTCCAAGCCAACACAGAACAGCTATTAGGGGAACTGGAGATCCTGGCAGGGCAGCTGACCCCACCCCATCCTGGGACCCTCTCCTGGCACCCTGTCCTATTATTATTATTATTATTATTATTATACAAGATAAACTTATTGCTTGATAGTATAGGACAGAGGAAGGAAGCAGGAACAGGGTTGATTCAACTTCTATTTGTTTTGTTTTATTTCAGAATAAATGAATTTAGCCATAGAAAGAAACACACACACACACTCACACACACACTCACACTCTCACACACACAGTCACTCTCTCCTCTCTCTCTCTCTCTCTCTCTCACACACACACACACACACACACACACACACACACACACACACACACCAGGGGAGTGATCGAGCTTCGAGCTTCGAGAATTTCTGTGATCCGCGAGAGGACCGCGAGGGGACGAGCAGTGACCGCTAAACTGTAGGCGCAGAGCCTCGTTCGCTGCCCACCAAGGGCCAACAGAGGGCGCCCGACTCGCGCCAGCGCTAACTGGCGCCCCGGTGGGTGCGGGGAAACGCCCGCATCCCGGGCTCGGGGTTTGTGGCGCCGCTGCTTCCACGGTGAGAAGCAGAGCCTCCTTTGCCGCTGACCGTCGTGCCCGCTTAGGGAAGCCGCCCAGGCTTCTCGACCCCCTGGTGGCTGAGGAAATAGTAAGTAAAAAGATGCCTTTCTGGGCCCTGACTGCCCAGCCCGGTTTAAATCTCCCTGTTTTGTGTGCAGAGAGTGGTTTCAAACACCAGTTTCCACCTGTGGGAACCAGGATCTCCACGGAGAAGGGACACCGTGTAGGGCTGTGCCAGGGAATGAATGGGGAGCATCTGCTGTAGCAGGGAGGTGCTCACACAGGAGGGGACATGGCCAAAGGATGCTCATGCCCTTCGAAGGGGATCTCGCTGGGCAAGTTGGAGCATCAAAATAAACCATGATGGTAACAGATGGAAACACATTAAATGAAATAGCAATTCATGAGTCCACGTTGACCTAGCTGCCTCTTTAAAAGGGTAAAATGGAAGAATGTTTCACTTTCTGATGATGTGGAAGCAATGGTGCAATCAGCACTGGGGCTTTATCCATCGTTTTATTCTTGACTTTCTAATAGGACATTTTAGTGAGACTTATTTTACAACTTATTGGGGCGATTGGAGACTCAAAACCATCACATTTTGTACTAATTTTTTATTTATTATCCCTGTTTCTGGGGAGAAATGCCGACAAATTCAGAGAAAGGGGAAAACATAAATATTGGGTCATACTGATTGAATGTGTTAGAGACACAGCCTGTGCCTGGGTAAAACGTGTGACATAATTGCTTTTTTGGTGGGAATAATGGGCTTTGCCACCTGTGTCCACCTGCCACCATTGTTCCTTATCATGTAGCTAGCCACTAGCATTTTTATGTCAGTACCACCTTTTTCCAATTTATAATAATTTCATAAGCGAGATCAGATCCAAATGTTTTTGTTTCAGTAATGTCAATAAAACATTCTTCAATCATTTAACACATCGTTTTATTACAAACATGACTAAAAGTCTGACTCATGGGTTCATCTGTGTTACGATCAAAAAGTAAAGAGAAGTATTCTGCTTCTTAACTCACGTTAGTATTTCAGATCTCACCTGGCTTCCTAGTAGCATGGCATATTCATTTTGGATTTTATTACATGAATAACCCTCAGATCCCTTTGCCTCATTTACTATGTGATCAACTCTATAGTTTTATAGTATCTTATATGTACAGCAAATTTCAAAAACACTCCAGCATTGAGGTCAAAAATTTCTTGTGATTTTTTTTTACAAATTCAAATTTTACTTTTATCATATAGCACAATAAAATGAACACAACTATATCCTTAATAATCAGAGATTAAAGCTTATCCTTAATCTGTATGTTTTCTTTATTTCATTACAGTGAGATTGAACAAAATAGTCTTTAAACTTTAATCTTCTCCAGTTTAAGCCACCACTAGTTAAGTAAATGTCACACATTTCTTTTCATTTATAGGGTGGCTTTTCCCAGGTCTTTACAGGTGCTCACTACATAGGAGTAGCAGGAATGCTGTTTTGGTGCCTGCAATTCTGTGGGATGTCTGGTAGTCTTTTTTTTTTACTTTCAATGGATTGTCTTCTTCGGAAACTGCTTTTAAAAACACTGTGGCCTTATTTACCAAAAACACTTTCAGAAACAGGAATGCTTCTAATACAGAAACAAAACATGGTTTATGATCTCTTTTAAGAACATGAAATTAATCATATTTGCCAAGGCCTAGGTTAAAGTTATGTGTTCAGAATATTCAAATGCCTGGATAATTATGAACTTGGTTTTCTATACCGGGCCCTGAAATGAGGGAGAATTGACCATTTCCTACAATATTGCTTAGCTTTCTATTCTACACTCACTAGTCCTTTTCTTGAACAACCTCTAAACTGAGGTCACCAGAAGGTGAACTTTGGCAAAAAAATATCCTTTAGGGTTGACTAGATTATTTAAGATTTGTATGAATACATTGTAAGAAAATACCTTGCCTTAGAGCAATATATTCCCTTTGTTCACTCTGAAAATCTAGCCGCCAAATTAAGAACTAAAGAGAATGAACAAACCATATCTGGGGCTTCTCTGTTCATATTTGCTTCTTGATTTAAAAATGCACAATTGGGGCAAATTATGTGAATATCTGTGTACATATAAATTTTTTTGCACCAATAATTTTGCTTTAAAGCCATTCTTCAAATATGTTATTCCAATAGATGTGACAAAACCATGTGGAAATCCCAGGTGTTCAGACTGATTGTCAGCCTGTTTTTCTGATGAAAAGACTACAGTTCACCCTGGCTGCTTGCTCAGTGGTTAGAGCATAGGCCTGCAGACCAAAGGATCCCAGGTTAGATTTCTGCTTCAGGGCAGGTACCTCCCCCGCTTCGGGGCTCGTGCAGGAGGTAACCAGTTGATGTATCTCTCTCACATCAATGTCTCTCTCTCCCCCTCTTCCCTCCCTTCCACTCTCTCTCTCTCTAAAGACCAATGAGAAAAATATCCTCAGGTGAGGATTTTTTTAAAAAGAAAAAAGAAAAGGCTACATTTCCCCAGTTCTACATATCAGAAAAATAACATTTCCTGCAAAAGTTCAATATTCTCATCTGAGTACTGGCCATGGCAATCTGACAAAAGATCAGATTATAAAACTAGGTGGAAGAGCTACTTACAATGGTTCTCAATGCTATCTGGCTTTTAATCCTATCACTGTTAATTCTATTCAGTGGTTACCCAATACACCCAATATTACTTAGAACGTGTATAACAGAGATAAAAGCTTGTAATTAAAAGACTAGAATCCAGTTCTATCATTAACATGCTATGTAATCTTAAGCAAGTTGTTAATTTCTCAGAACCTCATTAATAAAATAAGGATAATTATATCTAATTTTTAGAATTGTTAGAAAAATTAAAGGAGATATTATAGTTAGGGCAGTGTTTGGTACCTAGTAAAAATTCAGTTAATTGCTTGGCAAAGAAACTGGCTTCATTTATTTATTCAACAAACATTTATTGTGGGTCTACTTGGGCCAGGATTTTATCTAATTACTTGAGATAACTTGGTAAATAAAATAACTGCTCTGTTGGGAATTTCTGAATTTCATCCAGAAATTCTACTACTAGTTATTTACCAAAGAAATGAACACAGTGTCTACTTATATGTATATGAATATTCACAGAAGATTTATTCATAATATCTCCAAAGTGGTTATAACTCAGGTATGCATATATATGTTATGGTATATTCACTCAATAGAAAACTACTTAGGAATATATAGAAACAAATTATTGGCACATGCCATAACCAGATGGATCTCCAAGTGCCACACCAAATGGAAGAACTAGATTCAAAAAGTATATTCCGTGTGGCTTCATTTTCATGACCTTGTCATCTTCTAAGAAGTAAAACATCACATTGAAAATTACTCCCACTTGATCTGCTGTTTTTGTTTCTCTGGTTTTATCGATGTCTGCAAAGCATCATTTATTAAAATGCCAGGTCGGACATTTAAAAACTCTTCTGTTTCAGAAGATCATGACGGGACATGGACCAGTAACGTCTGGCGGCCTTTTGACCTGTGAGAGTCCCCATGACGAGCACCCCTTCTCAAGGTATGCACTCATCGGGGAGGCCTCATTGTCAAGTTCAGAGTTAAACTGGAGACATCACAGGTAAATGCTCCTGCCCTGTCCTGTTTCTAGGCCCCACACGGATCAGTACAGGAAGAGCACAGCACTGCACCCCTCACCCTGAAGGCCAACTGTATGCACCAAGGACAGGATCCTGCACCGCGTCAAGGGAACAGCGTGAGGAGGGCTCAGGACACTTACCAGAGAGGGGTAATCCCACCTGGGAATTTCCCTGCAGGCACTGTCTTTATGCTCACAGAGAGGGTCCACACACACTTCGCCAGGAGGCAAACCTGCACTCCAGTGTCCCTGTCACTCATCAGGTAACTTGGCCACGCAAAACCTTTTCCTCGCTCTCTGCCTCATTTCCCCTTGCGTGGCTGCAAGGGAAACATTGTCACCAGTGATGGCTGGCTGACACTTCGACCTGCAGTAATGCCATGGAGCCAGCCAGTGGGAAGAGTCTGCATGTACCTTCCTTAAGGTACCTACTCAGGGCGGAGACGTCATTGTCAAATTCAGTGTTAAACCACAAACATGGCAGATTCTTGCAAAGCTCTTGGCCTGATTCTAGGACCCGTGCCGGTCAGCCCAGGCCCCACCACAGCAAGACCCACATCCCACTCAGTGCTCACCCAGCACTGTGTCCATGTGGCGATGGACATTACTCATGTTCCCCACCCCCTTCTGGGGGTGATGTTGGCGGGAGATGTGCCCGGTGCAAAGGTCTAATGTTGTGTCCCTTGCTCTGAAGTAAGTCCCCACTGTGGGGGCTGGGAAGGAACCTGAGTTTCTTGTGGTTCCTTTGAGATTCCTTGTTTAAAGCTGTAAGTTCCAGGCGCCCCTCCTGTAGTTTTGCTAATAAGACCTCTTCTGCTCCCCCCTGTCTTCGCCCTCTGGTGGGGGCGAGGAGGAGGAGTAAAGGGTCCTGTCTCCCCCTCCTCCAGCCCCACTCCAGGGTGGGGGTCTCACCTAGCTGGCACTGGTCCTTCCACACAGAGTCACATCCAGAGCCCCTCACACTGGGTGTCTGAGCCTTCCCGGGGGTTGGGTGAGGACGACTATTTTGGAACCTTAAACAGGCTGCCAAGTAAGAGGCACGTGCCCGTGGAACAGGTGGGGAGAAACTTCACAGCCACCTCCCTGTGTCCTCCCACCTCGACCACCTCGAAGCAAACGGAAGAGCTGGTGTTTCTGGCCCCTTCTGTGGAGGATGGAGGAGGAGACTTGCTGTAGATGGACTCCTCCTCCAGGAGAAGGGAGGGCCCTTGGGGGCGGCTGGCCGCTGTCCCTCACCGGCGGGTTCTGTTTCTTCTGCCACGGAGACTGCAGGGCCAGCGCCCCCAACTCCCTCCTCCAAACCCTGTGAAACTAGAAGCTACTTGATCCTCACCCGCCCAACTGGATGGGGGACGTTCAGTTGTGCCCTCCTGTGTCATCTCATTACACACCCCCCTTCACACAGCCCTACGAAGTTCAAGGTGGTGAGAGGGCAGGGCAAGGTCTGGTTTATCGGTGCCTTTGGGTGGAGTTATACTTCTCGAGAAGAGAAGCTTCTGGATGTTTTATGGTATTTCCTAGTGTTCTTCTGTAAATGTATTGAGAAAAAAATGAACAGTTTAAGGAACGGGACCTCTGAGCAGGTACAACGAAAAAGCCTAGAAATGATAGGTGTGGGAGCCCCCTGTCAGCCTCAGGAAGACTGGAGGGGACCCTTCCAGGCCCTGAGCCCCACGTCCTGGGATCCCCTGAACATACACCTCCAAACTGAGCACATGGCTGCTAGGAGAAACCAATATGGCTCAGAATCCCTGCTGAGGGTGAGCAGGGACGCCCCCTGCAGGCGACTGCCAGCATGAGCGTCAGTAGCTTGTTACAGGCATGCACCCATTTGCTTCTGGAGATGCGACTACTGGGCGGGTGGGGTGGAGGACAATTCCAGGATGGCGATGAAAAGCATCCTCCCATCCCATCAGCTCAAGCCCGGGTGCCTGGGGACCCCCTCGGCCCATGACCCCCAGAGGCAGCTCTGATCTCTAGGGGCCTGGGGCCCTGCACACCGCCTGCCATGGCTTGGTCTGGACCATGGCTCTTTTTGTCCTTCCCTGTTCTCCGTGGATGGAGACCCTGAGAAAAACGGCGCATCCCGTTTTCATTTTCCCCTTGGCTAGAACCTGTCCCCACCGTCTTTGCTGGTTCTGGGTCCTGGACTCCGAGACTTCTCCCCGAGGCAGGGGACCCTGGGCGTGGGGCATGGCTGCCTGAAACACAGGTGCTGACCCTGAAACCTCAGCGGTCCTGGCATTCGTGACTCTGTCGTTGACCATCTCATTACTGGTTGGGACAGTGCAACCTCAAGCCCTCCTGTGTCAGCAGAATGTGGAACTGGCGCCTTCCCCACTTAGGGAAGAAGGGAGCCTGTGTCACGGGGGACTGTGTCCATTCGGTCCCCACGGGGCCATGGGGACATCCTTGGGTGGACTTTTCTCACTGCATTCGCTCCACAAATCTCTCATTTTGCCTTTACGATCTGGTCGATGACTGACTCATCCTTCAGATTGAACACCCTCCTTGCCCTAGAAACACCTCTGATTTCCGGTGGGCTTGGGCTCTGCACAGAGGCAGACGCACCCTTGGCCCTGTGCTTCACATCTCCTGGATCCTCTCCTGTTCTCCAGGGGCAATGCCCCTGGAACACATGCCTCCTTGTATTTTTCTTTTTATGGCCCTATCCGTTTAGTCCTAAATAAAACAAAACAAATAGGGGTCTAATCAACCCTGTCCCCACCTCCTTCCTCTGTCCTATGCTATCAGTACCTAAGTTTATTCTCATATAATAATAATAGGACAGGGTGATGGGGCCAGGGTGGCAGGGACTGGGTGGGCCCCGCTTCTCCAGGGGAGTGTCCGGTTATTAGATTCCCACGATCGAGCCCGGCTACTCCTGGGCGCTCTGCATCTCACAGGGCAGCTGCCTGATCTGCCGGGCGGTGGACTTCCCAAGTGCGAACGGCCCGGCTCCAGGCTGTCAGCGAGGCTCACCTCTCAGGGATCACCAGGCTATGAGCAGCGCCAACTCGAAGTGCGACAGGGCCCGGCTCCAGGCTGTCAGCAAGGCTCACCTCTCAGGGGTCACCAGGCTATGAGCAGCGCCAACTGCGTAGGGCGGGGGAGGGGCGGGGGCGGCTGTAGTGGGCTCCCCAATAGGTTCTGGGCAGCCCGCAGGAACTTGCCACACAATCCATTAGGCCCGCCTCCAGCTCAGGGGTACCACCAGCTCCTGCAGCTCCAGGAACTTCCCCTTCATTTCCTCCTTGTCCTTCGCCAGCCGCTAATGTCCTCCTCGTCCTCCAGGTGGCGCTCCTTCGGCCCTGCCCTCTGATTCTGGTCAAGGGCGGTAATGTGCTATGCTCCGATTGCACCTGTCTCTGCAGACAGCTGAATGAGTGCTGCTCCAGCTCCTTCAGCTCCATCTTCCCTTGCATGGCCTCTGTAAGCAAGGCAGCTCCGCAGCTTGTCTGTGGCCACCTGGACGGCCTGTTGTGGCTGTTCTGCTTCGGCTGGTAGCCGCTGTTCCACTTCCGAGGGCCCTGCTGGGGGCTCCTGGGGTGGGGGGACAGCCATCTGGTTCCTCCGTTCAGCTGAGCTGGTCTCCAGCTCCTGTGCCTGACTCCTGCTGTGCTCCGTGTCCTCCCTCAACTTGCACATCTGCTCTGACATTTGCTGCATCTTCTGTTGTCAGATGGCCTTCTCTCCTCTCGGGTCCCTGTGTACTGGTCTTTCTCCACCTACTGCTACTTCAGCAGATTCTTCAGCTGCTCCACACGTGTCTCCCAGGGCCTCTTGCCCTTGCTCCTCGCTACCAGGGCTTCCCGGATGACTAGAGAGTTGTTGTGGCGGGAGCTCTGGCGTCTCCAGCTTCATCTTCGGCAGTTCTGCCACCCTGAGCTGCCTGGCCTCCCTGCGGGTCACCGAGACCCGAAGGCACTCCGCAGTTCCCAGTTCTCCTGCTTCAGGCTTCACGCGTTTTGTTGTTCTTGTATAACCCCGGCTTTCGGGCCTCACAAGTTTGGGTGAGATCTTTGTCGAATCGCCTGTGTCTGCCATGTGCACACCCGCCCAGAGCTTGAGGCTGGGGAGTCAGCAGGAGACCGGCAAGGCCCTCCTCCTCTCTTGGCTTTCTGCCTGGCTGCTTGTTGAGGCCCGGCCAGAGCTGTCTGCAAGTCTGTCTTCTCAGACACTAGAATCCCTACGGCCTGGCTATGAATCTGTGATCACTGTCTCAGGACACCTGGTGTCTTCGCTCGCCTCTGCCTATATTCCTGCTTCTCTTTTTCTGGTTGGGATTGATGGAATTTCATGGCTGCGTGGTCCCTCCAGCACCTCTGTGTGAGCAGAAGATGCAGTCCCTCCGCCTTGACGGAGGAGGCAGGCTCGCACCTGAGACTGCTGAGCTACAGGGAAAGCGGACACGGGCTCTGGGCAGATGAGGATGCGCTTCCAGACAGGACAGAGTGCCGCTTTTGGGCCCCTAGTTCCATGTGGATGAAGCAGCGCTGGGGAAAGGACACCCCAGGCCACATGTGCCTGCAGGAGGCAGGGCGGGGAGCGGTGTGGTCTTTGGGCGCATCCTCAGGCGAGTGACAGCCATCAGAAGTGGCTGTCCCGGGGCTGCTAACTTCTGCTTCTTAGCTCCTGCAGGAACACAGTGCCTCGCCGCTGCGGCCATTCTCTCAGCTTTCTCCTGGCCTCGGCCAGTTCTTCCGGTCGGGCTTCTTGGGCCGGGGAGGCCTCCTTGTATTTGGCATGTGACAGGCACTGGGCCCCTTGTTCCCAGGGTTCTCAGCTAACCCCCTGCCCTTGGTAGAGGGCTCCTCCCCCTGAGGTAGGAGGTCCCCAATCCTGTCTCCCTCTCCTGCTGAGGGTCTCCTGGGGTCTCTCTTGAACTGGTGAGAGATTCTTGACTCGTTTGCTGTCTTCCCCTGTCAGAGGGACGCTCGTGGCCATCTGTCGTCCTTAGCCCATGAGCTCCTGAGATGGGTACTTGTGAGAGGTGGGATCATGAGAGAGGATGGCATATAGTGAGAGAGGGGGCCCCAGGATAATGTGGGGGGTGTGCATGAAGGTGGGTTCCAGAATCTGGTTGTGGTTTGGGGGCAGAAGGGAAAATGCAAGGGGGGGGGAGGTGTAGGTGACAGGTGGTCCCTGATCAGTGTGGGATCCAGTGCTAAAAATGCATGAGAGACAGAGGGGCCCCTATGTTGGGGTGATGAAATGGAAAGCGAGGGGTTCGTGGGTGCAGTGGAGGGTGGAGGCAGTGTCATGGGTGAGATCTCATGGCTGTAAAGTGACAAAGACAGAGCTGGTGCTTCCCTCGCTCCCCACACACAGAACGTCGGCTTCCCCGGTGGCTGGCACGCCCCTCAGAGCAGAGACCTTGTGCCAACTTCTCCATGAGCTGACCTGCAAAAGAAGGCTTGTGCCAGTGTGTGCAGGAGACAGGGACATCCAGGAGTGTGCCGGGGACAGGCGGGCCTGGCAGGGGTCCCAAGCCCCACCTCCCTCCCTGCATGATGCCCCACGATCCCTCATCCAAGCCTTGCCCAGATGGTTCTCCCATCCGACTCCTGCTGTGCTCCCTGTCCTCAACTTGCACATCTGCTCTGACATTTGCTGCATCTTCTGTTGTCAGATGGCCTTCTCTCCTTTCGGGTCCCTGCGTACTGGTCTTTCTCCACCTGCTGCTACTTCAGCAGATTCTTCAGCTGCTCCACACGTGTCTCCAATCCCTCATCCAAGCCTTGCCCAGATGGTTCTCCCATCCATGCCAAGGTCAGGCGACACTGGAGTTCCGTGGGCTCGCTCGGAAGAGGGCACCTGAAGTTGAGGAAGAGAATGCTCACCTCTCCCAAGGGAGAGCTGGTCCTGTGCTGTGGTAGGGGTTTCTAGGGGAGCCCTCCCAGGTGGGGAGACCCGACCCAGGTACGGGGGTGACAGCTGGAGCAGAGGATCTCTCAGTAGCTCCGGGTCCGTGGCATTTGGATAATAGCCCGTGTCCCCACTGGCGCCTGCCGGTCCTACCTTCTCCCCAGAGTTGCCATCCAATCTCTCCCGAGGATCCCCAACTGACTCCTCTCTGTTCTCGTTGGTGTAAAGAGGGCAGAAAGGAAAGGCAAGACCAGTGTCACGAGCTTTTTTTGGCCTGGGCCCACGGTTCCCTTACCTTGTTGATGCCCAGTTCTTTTGTATTTTTATTTTATTTTATTTATTTTTTAATCCTCACCTCAGGGCATTTTTCCATTGATTTTTAGAGTGGAAGGGAGGGGGAGAGGCAGAAAAAAACATCAATATGATGCAGTCACTATTAGGACCCCCTCTCCCGTCCTGCCCCTGAGGTCACCTTCTCGTGACCTCCAACAGCGCTGGTTACGTCTGCCAGGCACAATTTGGTGCCTTTCCTGGTATTTAATCCTCACAATGACCTTCTGAGAGAACTCTGCCACTTTTCCTATATTAGAAGAGGAAACCAGAGAACACGGGCTAGCTACGCTCCTGGCCAGGGTCACAGCGCCAGTGAAAGGCAGGGCTGCGTCCAGCCAGAGACTCCACCCCAGTGGCAGCTTCTTCAACCGCTAACCTGTGCTGTGAAACTGCCCTCCGCGTGCACTCTGGGGGGGTCTCACACACACCCTTTGCATTCTCTCTTCTCTTGTAGCTCAGGTGCCTGGGGAGGTGTGAGGCCCAGCGTAGGGA